AAAAAAAAAAAAAATATATATATATATATATATATATATACACACTTTTATAATAAAAATTAAATTAACTATAAATCTTAATTGAAAACTCGTAAGGTATTTATCAGTTAAATAAATTTATTTATTAAGTTCATCTTATAATACAAATTAAAAATATATTTTAGTATAAGAGGGAAATCCATGTAAGCGATGAGTTTCATTTTAAATATATATATAATTAGGCAATTTCTTCAAGAATTATTTAAAAATTAACCAAAAAAAATCTATTATATAAAAGAAAAAATTATGTATAAGTTTTTTTTTTATTAACACCCATATAATATACATATATCGTACCTTTTATTTTTATTTAATATAATATAGGCATAAAAAAGCGTTATGACTATATAAAGTGATTATTGTTTCTGTTTGAGATTAATTGAACAGCATTTTTTTAAAATACAGTCCACAGAAGAAAGAGAACAACCCGGACAAAGAAAAGTTGTGTTATTGAATTGATGATTATGATTAACTACTGTAAAATTAAAAATTGTGTTACTAATGATTATGATTAACTCGTGTAAAATTTCGAGAAGATATTGATGTTGTTAGGTGCTTGTAAAAAGCGATGACATATATATATATAAAGGAAAATATGTCTAACTTATAAGCTTAGCGAATTACTCTTTCCACCACCAATTGATTTTACAATGAAACTCCACCAAGACCCATCTAAGCTCACCCTGCTTTGGTACGTTTCACGTCTGCGGGACCGCAACTATCCACCCCCGTTTCTTCAAAAATATTTCATATCAAGTAAATCCAGAGTATTTAATTAATTAAGGAAATCTACAATAATTTGGAATATGTCATCAGTTCGTTATAAGTAAACGGTCTTTTTACTGCTAAGCTCTCAAGTAAATATTACCTCAAATACTCAATTTCTAATTTAAAGGCCGGAGTGTTTGTGCCCTGGTGTTGTTTTTCAAGTTGATCCAGCTCATGTTGAGGTGAAGATAAAGAGAGACTATTTAACCCGAAAGCTCCATGATCGATATTTTTTTTTTTTTTTTTTGGTACAGGGACCTTCCGGTTTCCAGATCCACAGGAAAACTGACTAATCCGGAATCGAGCCGGGTAGGACCACAAGGGCGGCTCCATGATCGATATATTTATTCAGGGAAAACAATTTAGTCCTCTTAAATCTTAATAATAATAATCATTAAGCTTTAACACTCTTGGGACATAATGATTCGTGGATTTTAATTTGCTCTCTTACATGCATTTCTCTGCTTCTCCTCATTCACCCCTTTTAAATTTTAATTTATGTATTTTTCTCAATAAATGGACTAATACGTTTTGAGAGTGGCAGTCTCATGAGCCTTAAAATTTTAATTGGGCTCGAGGTGCTTGAAGATATTCTTCTGTGTTTGACATTTAAGAGGGGTCTAATAAAATGGGGCCCATTTAGAAGAGCTGACATCATGAATTAGCTGGCTTCTCCAGTCTGTTCTACTTTTGTCACCTGTCCTATTGCAGTTTATTGTCTATATTCATTTATCCTATTCCTATCTTAAACATGGCCAGGTGCCGGGTCTGCGGGCCTCAACACCATGGCCCTCGACCGGCCCGAAAAAAACTTTAGGCCGGCCTGAACCGACGGGTCACGGGCCGATTCGCGGG